CATCGCATTACGTACATTTTAAGTGTTCAGTAGTCATAGATAGCAAGGGGTTAGCATGCTGAATGGTGAAACTATAGAACCCTTCTGTCGTTGTACAAAGTTTTATTGCAGAGTGCTTGGGCTGGAGCTGTCTTACACAAGACCAATATCTCTTTATTTAGAGTTCACTCAAGCTCTAAATAATCTCTCTTTAGGATTTTATCTGGCTCTAGATATATCTTTGTATACCTGCATTGTCCAACACAGTAGCCATTCATCACCAGTGTCTGTTGAGCCCTAGAAATATGACTGATCTGACTGAAAATACTCCAGAAGTGTAAGGCACACACTAGATTTCAAAGCTTTTGTATCAATAAAGAATGTAACAGACAACATTAATAATTTTACACTGAGCATACGTTGAAATACTTCTTTGGATATATTGCATTTAAAAATTCACTGTTGAAATTAATGACCCATGTTCTTTTATTTTAAAAAACTTATTTAATGGTGCTACAAGAACATTTTCAATTATATCCAAGACTTGCATAGTATTTCCTCTAGACAACCTGCCATAGATCCCTTCATTCTTCTTTGAATAAAGAGTGTGTGTGTGTGTGTGTGTGTGTGTGTGTGTGTGTGTGTGTGTGTGTAGGAGGGATATATGTATGCACATGCAGGAGACCAGAGGTAGCCACCAGGTATCTTACTCTAACATTTCTGCCATATTTATGACAAGATTTCTTGCTGAACCTAGAAGTTGCTTATTTGGCCAGACCAGCTGGCCAGTACGCTTCAGCTATCTCTGCCTCCCCAATCCTGAGATTCCATGCACATGGCAACTTGCCTGACTTTTTTTACATGGATTGTGTAGAGACTCAAACTCAGGACCCCATGCAAGCACTTTACTGAGTGAGCCATCTCCTGAGGTCCCACATGTGGGTACTTCCAGTGAAACTAACTGAAAGAAAACAAAATTTAAATTTCAACTCTTCTGTCCCATTAGCCACAGTTCTGTCACTCTGTAGCCACCTGTAGTTAATGGCTGTTGTATTGCAAGTCACAGAGGGAAAACATTGCCATTGTCACAGAAAGTTCTATCAGGCAGTACCAACATAGATTGTGCATAGAGATGGCAAGAGGTATCAAAGTGAATTGTGAAGGATGCGGCAGGTTTCCATGGCACCTAACCCTGAAGCAAATAATCCACTGTCTCCTGGGTGCCTGCCCCTGCTTAGCTTTGTTAGACCTGTTTGTCTCCAGCTTATCTCTTCATCCTTCTTCCTGCAAGGGCTTTGGTGTGTTTGTCCCGCTGCAGCACACCTTCTTGCTCAGCCCCTCCTATGTGTATGTGTAGTTACCATGGCTCTTTGTATGAGACAGGTACTCAGGAAGCATTTGTTAGCCAGCTGAAATGGGAGTGTCAATCAAGTGAGTGGAATGATGTGGCTGAAACTACATGGATATCTGGGAGGCTGGGAGCAGATTATAAGGGAGAAAGGGCTAGAGGCAGCAGATGTGCCAGGATCCTATGGAGAAAGGAAGAGGAGTTGCAGCAAGACAGAAGAGAGGAAATCAGAGAGACAGATGACTGTTGACCCAAAATCTTTTCAGTGTGACCCAAACCCTTGAAACTACCCTCACAAGCTTCCTGCAGACAGTGATGAGAGTTCTTAAAGGGCAGTTTACAGGCTTGGGCACCAGCTATGTAAGAAGTGCAGAAACCCCAAATATTATTACGTGATACATAAACATGAAAGAAAGACCTATAAATGGAAAATATGAAAATTAAAGGTCTGATAAGGAGGGAGAATGAAAAATGGCCTCTCCCTAGGCCAGCTGGTTTGAGTTACATTTTATGGGCAGCGTGTGAATTCCGGTGCCCTTGTTGAATTTGCGGCAGACTCGCACATTAGTTTTAAGGCTCCCTCTCGAATAGGAACATCATAACGCTTTTTAATTGGTGCTGATAAAAAACGTAGCATTACTTGTAGGTTCCTGAGAGAAGTGAGTTGTGAAATTGGGTTTTCATTAAACCTAATGACGGAAAATTAAGCATAGTGCGTCTAGCGAAATGGGGTGTGATAAAAAGCATCACTTCTGCATTATCGAAGGTTAATAAGGGAATAGGTGAGGAAAGATACATTGGAAAAGGGAGTCCAACTAGTTGAATTAATAAACCTTGAAAATCCCTTGGTTCCAAGTCCTCATGGCATCATTAGTGCTAGCACCGGCACTATCACAAATGTTACAGCAATACAAGTTGTTAAATTTCAAATGCATTTATTTTCCATTCCACTGTTGGTTTTGCTGACACTAAGTTTACAGTCTGTCTAGCAATGTGTTTAGGGGGAAATATCCATATTGATAGCCTTTTCAGTTTGGAAATGTTTGGCGTCTCACAAAAATTTGCCAGGTGCCAACTCCTAGGAAGCCTGCCTCTGCCAGGCAGCTGGTCTCCCATGCAGCCTGTGCTCTGAGTCCTTTAGAAAAGTTGGGGGTAGGGTGTCTCTCTGTGATGTCCACATGATGGTGTTTAAGTGGGAAATACTGGTTATGGGCTTTAACCTGATTTCACCTCTTTCTTCAATCCCATCATACCATCACAGGAAGGATGCTTCCAATACATGGCAGCTGTGACAGCTAAGGGAAAGAGTGAGTCCTGAAAGGCTGGATTCGTCTGCAGAACCCTCAACAGCTTCACACTGGTTTAGAGAATCCTCATGGTCTCACGCCTTCTGGGGCTACCTCCTGTCATCTGCCACAGCATTGTCCCGTAGCTTTTGTTTATGACTTCTTCTCTGCTCTTAAATGTGTCTTCATCTCTCAGGTTCTGATAATTTGGCTTCAGATAACTCTTCCCTAGTTTCCCTTCTAGACCATCAAGCTTTGAGTGTAGACTCTATTTCTTTCTAAGCTGCCCCTGTCTAAAAAAATCCTTGGTACAGACTTGACTCTCATAAGTCAAACTCACGATTACAAGGGTATGATGTAGCAGGGACTCAACACCAATATGTGCCAGGAACTACATTCAATCAATGCTAGTAAAGACGCATCAACCTATTACTAAGTGGAAGAAAAAAGTAGGCAGTATAATTCTCAATGCAACCAGAAAGTTTTCTTAGCATCTCACTTCAGCCCTTCTTTCCCATGTATGAATTTACAAATGTCTGTTGGGTGATAGGGCTAATTCCCAAAGGCCAGCTCCTTCATGTCTACTCATTGCATCAAAGCAAGAAATGCTGAAACCACAGGAGACACAGATACTTTAGCTCCTGGTGAGGTGTGGCCCAGTCAGTGGCTCAAGCTCAGGCTAACCAAATCCATAGTTTGGTATCCCATAGAGATGATAACAGGTGAGGCAGGTGGAAGGGTGGAAAGAGAAGAATCTTTGGCCCTGACTCATCCATGACACAGATGAGCATATGAGGGCAACCAAGACTCTCATTGTCCCGGAACTGAGGGGTTTCCCTGGACATAATTCTTGGAATACTAAAGCCAAAGAGGAGTTGGGTAAGTGTGACCAGTTGGTCATGCTGCAGGCCAGACATGTCTCTCCAGTATCCTGTCTTGTGAGGAACTGATTTTGATGTTGTCACATAAGAGTGGATTGTGCTTTTCCAGAAAGCCTGTCTGATAGATTATTGTGACAGGGAAGACAAACAAGCTGAGGGGGACATGGCTTTTAAAAAGACAAGTTGCAGAAAATTCTGGAATACATGTTAAGCCTCTCAGGGAATGAGCATGGCACCGGCTTCACGGACACCTGCATGGGAGCCTTAGTGTCTGAGAACATCTGGATAGGCACATCAACTGCCACATCTGGCAGGTCTTATCTCTTGAATAGTAAAAACAAAATGGCCCCAGGGCAGAGACTGTCAGAATGTTTGAGAGTCTGTGAACATGCCAAGCATAGATAAGTCTGGGAAAGAGAAAATGTTTCCAGAGTGACCAAATAACAGAAGGTATTTAAAGCTGTTCAATAAGTAGAGAAATTTTTATGAGGGAAAGGTATAACATTTTTATATATAGAGAGAGGATCTCATATGGTCAAGTCTGACTTCAAACTTAGTATTTAGTTGAGGTTAACTGAACTTTTGATCCTCTTGTTTCCCCATTTGGAAATCTAGGCTAACACGCACGTGCTAACCAAGTATTGTGTGGTGCTAGGAACCAGATGCGGGACTTTGAGCATGCTAGGTGAACAGTACTCACTGAGCATTTTCCCCACTGCCATATCAAGGGGTGTGGCATAAGATGCACATGAGTCATGGCTGGTGAGAATAAAGGAAGACAATTGAGAAATCTACAAGTTGGAATCAGGGGCATTTCAGGGTCAGTGGTAGTAAGGGGGAGAATAGATGACAGGACAAAGGTAGCCTCTGTTACAGAGCCCATTGCTGCAAGGAGTAGCTAGAGGGGCAGAGTCTCTGCTGGCTTCTGGGAGTTCAAGACTAGCTATACTTCCTCCCGGTATACAACCCAAAAGAAACACAGTAGGAGAGAAATCTGATCATAGACATACAGGCCCAGAAGCAGTCACATGGATCTTCTGGCCAGGCACCTGAGAGTCCATCTCTGCAGACCAGCAACTTAGCCTACATTAGGCCTGCAGTTCCTAAACAAGAACATTCTCCCAAGACTTAGTCAGTCTGGCTTCTTACTAGTTCTGGGATTGGTTGGTATTGAGCAAGGCACTCAACAAGCCAAGAAAAGGGGCTGAGGACAGACAAGGGATAGTCACTGAACTGCCATTTTGTCTTCACACAACCCATAATGAGCCCTTGAAATTGAACTGAATCAAGGATCATCCGCATGCACTGGTTTGTTATTTTACCATTTAAATCTGTGTGCATGGTCAAGTCAGGGAAGCAGTGTCTTTTGTCTTTCTATAATTTCCTGACCAGTGGAGTGCACAGTTCATTCTCTCTGACCTCCCCAGACCGTGCTGAGGTTGGGGTAGGGTGCAAAGAACAAAGCTGTCCCAAATGAGAGTTTGACCTGCTTCTTTTTCTTTGAAGCAGATGGCAGCCGTGGAGAGCTATCCCAGCCCACCCTCACCATTCAGACTCACCCCTACCGGACCTGTGACCCTGTAGAGATGAGCTACCCCCGGGACCAGTTCCAGCCTGCCATCCGGGTGGCAGACCTACTCCAGCACATCACCCAGATGAAGCGAGGCCAGGGCTACGGGTTCAAGGAGGAATACGAGGTAAGAGGCTAGCCTGTGAGGACTCCCCAATGGCTCATGGATACATTTGGAGTGCTAAAGCCTTGTCTCTGATCATGAGTAACAATGCCTGGGAGCTTGGTGGAAATGCTCCACCAGGCCCTCTTAATCAGAACTTATGTTTTAACTAGTACCTGGACATTAAATTTAAGAAATACATGCTCCTAATCCCTACTTTTTAGAGTCAAACCATTCTTCACTCTGAAGGTAAGATGGCTCACGCCCTCTTCCCACATGCTGTAGAAAAGCCAGTCCCTCTCTTCTGCCAGTACTGTCTGGCTTGCCTTCCCCTTCCTGCTCACTTCCTACCCAGTGTTCAATACTGTTCTCTATGCAGTGCCCTGACTGCGGTGCCGTCTCTCTACCTCTCCCGCCCTCCTGCATTGGTCACCCCTTTTCTCCCACAACCCTCTCATTCCCAGTACACCTGTACTACAAAAGATACGAATACATGCTGTAGTTATTTCAGGAGCTCAGGGGGTGACAGACAACCATAGAAAAGTATAGCAAGTTCCTGAATCCAACATTATTATCATATAGATTCCTAACCATGCAACGTGCTAGCAAGGCCCCTCAGGTTCTAATTTCTCACAGGTCGCTCTCTCTTCTCCTGTGTCTGACTCTTCTATAGCATCTCCAAACACTACCCTCAGCATCTAGGGAATGACTCCCACTTTCCCTTTGCTCTATCACACAAAACAATTTCTCTTCCTGCTGTTTCGTCTTACGTACCAGGTCTCACCTTCTCCAAATCAAAGGTACAAAGGAAAACCTATTAAGATATTTTCCCAGACCAGAGAGCAGCTCACCCCTCTCCCCCACATCTTCCTGTTTCCCTTTCCTTCCTCTCCCCCTTTCTCCCTTGCCCAACATCTCTTTGGCATGTTCTGTGTAGCATGTGTTAGATGATACCCACTGGGAATCACTCCCACCTTCCCTGCCTTCCTTCTTCCCCTCCCTCTCTCTTTTCTTTTGTGTCACATGCAACAATGCCCCCAATATGTTCTGTTTAGTTCCACTGTGTGTAGTAAAGGCTCCTTGACTCACACCAGCTCAGACTAAGTCCATCTCTCAGCCTATAACCATGGATCATACTTACAGAGCAGTATTTCTGAAGTCATGGGGGATAGAAAATCATGCTAAACTTGGGCTCCAGATAGCTGGGTTCCAATGCAGTAAACTATGCAATCTTGGCACATAATTTTGCTATCTCAGTTTTTAAATTCTTCATTAGTTAAAGAGTGTGCCTAAGTGGCTCCTATGACCTGTATGCTCCTAAAACTTCATGGGAATATAAAACAGTGGAGAGGGGTGTGTTTGACGTACTTTGAGAAGAAAAACATTCATGCCAGTGGCTGCAATTACCAGCTCAAGAGACCCAGCAGTTAATTTCAAATGTAGTCTAAGTCAAATGCAATTTCTCTCTGTACTCAGTCTATTACAGGAACCTCTTAGATTAAAATAAAAGCCATTGCTTCCTTTAAAAAATAATAAGGCACAGATAGATAAAGGAAAATGGATTTGTTTATCCTTTACCCAAACCAGAAAGAGAAAGAATCTTTCTTCATTGAGGCCTTTTCTGCAGCAGTGTTGCCCTTTTATAGAAAAGATGAAACAGAAGCCAGGAGATATGCATGATCCATTTAAAATGCCAGAATTGTGTGACACATCTTCCTGAGAGGTAAGCTTTTCCTCTAGTTGGCACCAAAACTGATTCAGTCTTTTTCTTTCCCCAGCCTGGGATTCATTGGGGCCCATCATTTCAGAACTTTCATAGCAAACAGGAGGGTCCCAATCATTCTTTCAAATATTTCCTCTCCTACCAGGATAGTTACAAGACTACTGATTTTGGAAGAGTATTGGAACAAGAGCTGCAGGTAGTGGTCTTATCTCCTCTGGGTCTTATTTCTGAATAGGATGAATGGTCCCAAGCCTTGTGTGTGTGCTGATGCACATGGATGCAGATAAGTTTGTTGAACAAATACCTCAGGACAGGAAGTATTGTTTGTAAAGGTTTGCCCAACATTAGAATTTCTCTTGAAGTTTCAAATAGCATCAAGAGAGGTATGTAGTTTATCAGAAAGGTACACAAACGGTCAAAACTGAAAATACCTCTTCTTTGAACTTTCAATCCAAAATTCAAGAACAGAAATATAGATGCAATTGACAATTTTGGTACATTCCTTTCTAGCATATTTCTTCTAAAGCATCTATTCCCGTATGATCAGTTATTTGTTCTTTGGTATGGTTTGGTGTTCTTTAATTCCTGTGTGTACCTGTAAGCATCTCCCAAACTTTCTAGCATGGAAATAAACTTAATTTAAAGCAAAGAATACATATTATTGCATCATTTGAGTCTCATCCAGAAATCTCACTAGTAAGGCCACCATTAGTTCAAATTGTATTAATCAGTGTGCCTTGCTTCTGGATAATAGCATTGTATGATTAACCTGAAGTTAATTAGAAAGCATTATTATTTGAAACATGCTACTTTGTAGGATGTGGCTGTCCAGTTTCTTAGAAACATTGCTCTGGTTTTCTTTTATCATTAACGTCCCTATGATTTCTAGGCTCTTCATCTTGAACATGGATTACTGATCTGCTTGAAGGCTTAGTATAGACATAAAAACCTGAGCTCCAGTTCTGCTGTCATACAGGCTGCTGTGTGATGTCCTGGCCTGTCACCTCCCTATTCTGCTCTGCTTCTATTTTTTTCATGCCAGTGTGTGAAGTTGACAAGTTGTCATCTAAGGGACCCTCAGCTTTAACAAGCTGTGCCTTCTAAACTTCAACTTAGCTACACAATCACTCCCAGGTTTGTTCAGTAAATATTTCCTAAGTATTCACTATTAGCAAGGTCTACTCTATGCATCTGGGATACAGTAGTGAGTGTCCATGCCCTCAAGAATCTTTATTATAACAGCCAAATAGAAAATGAGCATAAGCTGAAAAATAAATTGCTATTTTCATGTTACAAACTACATCAACTAAGAGAAACAGAAAATGATTTTTGCAATAATTCCTTCTATAGGTTAGGGAATTGAATAGTGAACAAGAGTCACAGTTGATCTCTTGTCTGTAGTGTTTGGCTCCATGACTAGTGGCTGTAATCATCTACAGTGTCTTTATTCTGATGTCTAATAACCAATGCAGACACCATCTGAGGTCTCAGTAGAAATGCTCCACTGCAATTCCTCTAACCATCCTCTTGGGTAGCCTGGGATTCTTGGAAGAATGGTAATTCCAAAACAGCTGGGCTTCTGTTTGTCTTGTTTTGTTTGATTGTTTGGTTTTGGCTTTTGTTTGCTTGGATTTTGAGACAGGGTTTCTCTGTGTAGCACTGGCTGTCCTGGAAATTACTGTAGACCAGACTGGCCTTGAACTGATATCTGAGTGGGGATTAAAGGTGTGCACCACCACTGCCTAGTGTGGACTTTTTTATAGGGTGGCTCAGAGCTCCAAATGTGAGCCTCCTACCTGACAAGGTAAAAATTGCATAAGGATAGTGACCTAGACTTTGATGTCACATTGCCTTGTATGTGAGCAAATAATAGATCTCTATCCTTCTAGTACAGAGGGGAAATAGACCACACTTCTTCATAGGAGGACCACTTCCCAGATTCTATAAGAGGACCCAAGATACTAATATTAGGGTGATATGGTCTGCTAGAAAAAGAGAATAGAACAAGGAAGGGGAATAGTATGCTACAACAGGCAAGTGGGTCCAATATTAAAAAGGATCATCCTTAAGATTTGGAGGGAGAGATTTCCATAGCAAGGCATGTGCAAACAAAAAAGAAATCTGGTCAGTTGTGCAAACAAAAAAGAAATCTGATCAGTATATAATGAATATGTGCTAAGCATGAAGTAATCAGATTGGAAAAATAAGGAGGGCCCTGGTGCTTTGGTACATTACAAACTAGTATAAGGAGTTTGGTTTTTACCTTGGAAAATAAACTGGAAACTACTGCAGAACTTTAAGAGCCACAGGTACTAAGGGTCTGATTTTATGTTTAAAGACCCTTTCTAGCTACTGTGTTGAAAATGGGCCTGGGGAAGCAAGGTAAGGCCAGTGATATAGTAACCCAGATGGGACAATAGTGACTCTAGCTAGGGCCAGAGGAGGGGTCCTAAGAAATGATGGGGTTCTGAATTTGTCATAAAGATAGAGCCAACAACATTCTTAATACATGGTGTATAAGTAAAGGAAAGGAATCCAGGATGACTCTGAAGTTCTTTGTTGAATCACTGGGAAGATGGAATTGCCACCAACAGTGATGGGACAGTGCAGAGCAGTCAGATCTGGAGCAGCTGGAGGTTTGCAATGTCCATAAGAACAGTTGACCATTTGAGAAAGAATCCCAGACTACAGAGAAAACATTGGTGATATTAAAGTCACAATACCAGATGAGGTCATCTGGCATGTCAAAAGAGGCAAGGACCTTGGACTGAGCCTTTTGAAAGTACCGCTTTAGGAAGCATATGTGGAATACTTTCCATGGGCTGGCAAGGCATTGGACTAGGCTGTAAGGGCTGAAAACATACAGTAAGCATGTCCCCATCTGGATAACCTGAGTTTATGATTAAAGACAGGCATATAGACTTAGAATTTTAATTGGATGACAAAATGCTACAATGAAGGAATACCCAGAAGTATAGTGACCCATAGGGATAGAGCATATTAGCCCTAGCCTGAGGGATTTGTCAGTAGTTTTCAGGAAAACACTAATCTCAACCAAATGTACAGAAATAAAGAATAGCAAATACAAAAAGAGAAGAAAGTTCTAGATAGAGAACTAGTAGTTGTGTTGTGGGAGGATAGAAAGTAGATTGAGTTAGAGGAACCACAAGTAGCTTGATTTATAAAATATGAGAGAGCACATGAAGGGAGTTGAGACTGGGGTTATTAGCAGGAACATAGATGTCCAGGAAGGGGGCAGTATTTGGCACACTAAGGAATTTGGATTTCATTCTGGAGTCAT